AGTAAGATGAGTCAAGGGAGCAATGGATTTTTTGTTTTATTGTCATTTGTGCTCATTTCATCCTTCGGTGATGGGGCCTGATATATTTGTGATGTAATATTATGCAACAGTTTAGACTTTGTGGCTAGGCCTAAGCTGTGTACGCGTTTACACATCATAGGTTGTTACATTATGATGGCTGTAGTTTTCACTGTCACTGAGGGGTTAATTTTCAGTCAACTTTCGAGTGCATATTGTAATTAATTATTTATTATTTTTTTTGACAAGTTGTTTGCTTGGATTGAATTAGCTATTCACACATTCTTTTCATTGATTCACCTCATTTGAAAGTGGTTGATTGGTTGTGCACTTAATTGTTTAATTTCTTTTTCTTTGAGATGTGGGTAGTTATTTTTGGTTTCTCCTTTCCAAGTCTTACTTAGTAATGTTGATGGAATTTATTTGTGTGATACAACTGTTAATTGATTTTGCTGGAGTGTTTGCATGGATTTTTGCCTGCTTGATGGGAAAACACCATGTTTTGACTTTGAGCAAGCTTTAAGACTGAATGAACTTGATAGACAGAAGTTTGTATCCTCCTCCAAAAAGAAGCATTACTCGTAGAGGAAATTAAATGTGATACAAGTTTATTATAATCATGCCTCATTTCATCTTTTGTGATTGTGTGTTCCTTGTATGTAAAAACACTGATGCAGGTCATATATTTTAGTTTATCATAAAAATGTTTTTATTTTTTTTATTATTTATTTATTTATTATTATTATTCTTTTATTTTATTATTATTATTTTTTTGCCATTTTAAAGAATGTTAAATTATAGCAATAAACTTCTAATTGTGTGTTTTGGTTGTCAAGTGTACAATTAGAGAGGGAATATTTTACACTTATGTACAGTTTATTTTTATGGTTGAGTAGAAATGTGAATTTCTGTGTTCAATAACAATAATATTTGTTTGAAATGGCAGTACCTGTTGTGTATATCTGTTTAGATTTTGTTTTATCATGTACTTCTGCTCAAAAGCACCTAATAGTTCTGTAATCATTTAAATACCTTTGTGTTCAAGACATGACTTGGTTGTAAACTGGTTATTATTATATGTAAGCACTTAATAATTATGACTGTACAAATGTATTTGGAGAAATATCTGTTTTGTATATTATTGTATATTATTTAGTGTTCTTTAATTCCTAACTGAGTGTTTGATAAGCTTTTTTCTTCATTGGGTGAGTTTATCAAACACCCGAGTAAAGGACAGGGTATATTAATGGGTGTGGATGTTGGGGAAGGGGGAGAGTGGGGTTCATGGGACTACTGTACTTACAGGGAAGTATTTAAATGGTTTTATATTGGAAGTATCATTCCTGCGAACAATTATCCTACTTGTGTCATCCAGTGTGAGGCTCATGACTTTACATATTCCCATGCTGTCAGTAGGTGTGATTGCGTATGACGTTTTGATTGACCCCATACCCCGCCCCCAAGGCATAAGAGGAGAAGAAAAAAAGCAGTTATGAAATTGATTTATATATTTTTATATGGTGTAAATATACAGTTAACTTGAGGCAGTCCCAAACCTTGTTACTTATGAAGCTTTGAAATTGCTAGGTGAATGTGTTGTTTTCTAAGCATAGCTTGTTTTATTGATGGAATCTATTTTTATGACATTCTTTACTCATCAGTGGATATTGCCACTGTCATATATCTTTCAAATTGAAAGTTGCAGAAATAATGTAGAAAAAACAATCATCTAAGGATGCATGAACACCTATGTATGCTATGCCTAATGTCATATTAGTTTTTTTCATAAACTTTTAAAAATCAAGCACTGGAAATGTTAAAAAAATTAACATTGTCATTCCACTTATGATGCACTGGAAGTAAAGTTTAGCCAATGTTTTCCAAACATGTTTGTAGAATTATGATGTGAATAATTAAACCTTAAAGATCTTAATGTCTTTGTGGATGAAGTCTGCAAATCATGTAATAGGGGCAAGGTGATAGATTGTTCTTGTTCCATTCCGATGTTTGAGGATTCCAAAGGCAAAGTACACTTTATCGTAACTCCTACAGAGGAAATAGAAAGAAGAGAAAAACTGTTAAGTTGAGCTTACAGGTGTAACTTATGTCTCATGATTGATAATCCTTTGGAAATCCTATTTAAATATATCACTTTTCAGTGAAAATTTTGGTTATATAATTGTTGAAACTGAGTAATGTTAACTGTAGATGTTACTTTTTTTTAAATCTAGAAGATTTAGATGTATTCTTACTACCTATTGTTTAATAGCTCAAATAGCTGAGAAGTCCTAGCTTGACATAGCCAAGTGAGACCAGGAAATTAAAGGTAGGGGAATTATTTCCATACTTGTATTTATGTAAACATCTTCTGTATTTTTAATAGCTACATTGTAAAGTGTTCAAGAGATTGCAAATTGTTGAGGTATACTTCTAGAAAATTAATGTATTTTACAGCAACAAATATGCCTACTGATCCTACGTGAAATTAACACATGCTTTTTCTTAGTGAATCAATATTTGGCACCAACATGCACACCTATACACACACACACACACGCACACACGCACACACACACACACACACACACACACACACACACACACACACACACACACACACACACACACACACACACACACACACACACACACACACACAACACACACACACACACACACACACACACACACACACACACACACACACACACACACACATATATAAACACACACACACACACATAAACACACGCACACATAAACACACGCACACATAACACACCACACATAAACACACACATAAACACACACACATGCACACATAAACACACACACACACACACATAAACACACACAACACACAACACATACACACACACACACCACACACACACACACACACATAAACACACACACACGCACACACACACACGCACACACACACGCACACACACACACGCACATACACACGCACACACACACACACACACACACCACACACACACACACACACACGCACACACACACACGCACATACACACACACACACACACATACACACACACATAACACACACACACAACACACGCACATACACACACACGCACATACACACACACGCACATACACACAAGCACACTCAAGCACACTCATACTCACACTCACACACAGAGGCACATGTAAAATTTATTCTTTAGTACTTGAGAAGTATACTCTTTGCTAATGTGATAATTCATTGAATGGTGGAAGTAATCAATGTAAATGACAAAATAAACTTTAAAAGTATCACTGTTATAGAGGGATGTACTATAAATGTTAAGTTGTGTTTGAGATGATATGGGAAGCCAAAAGGCAACATTATTTGGTATTCATTCTCATTTAATTTTGTCTTGTTGACTGATTCATTAATTTTACAGTCAGTGCAACTTGGTGATATGACAATATTCTTCTGTACTTTTGTGTTTACTATGATTTTCCTTGTTCGTGGTTACATTGGTGCATAATTGTACAGTAGGGGAAATTATAATAAAGATTGTAAAATAGATTTTGTGTTTCCAGAATCTTTTACCCCTAATCCCCCCCCCACCCCCATATCCCTTGCCCGTTGTTGTCGTTGGAGGGGGGGGGGGGCTTAGGAGACGTAGACTGAGACCCAATGCGGGGATCTCCCTTGCCTAGGGCCTCAGGCTTCGACACTAAATTTGCATGGTCTTTTCTCTCCAGCTCTTTCGTTTCCGTCCCTTCACCAACCCCTTCTACTATCTACTTCCTAAGGTGTAAGAGCTGTGATGAAAGGATGAAAGGCCGACTTTGTGCCAGTCCTGAGGGAATCATGGGCACGGTATCCCCCTGTTTTAGTTGTTTAGCCCTTACCCATCAAGGGGACCCAGAGGGGTGGACTGTTTATTTCCCCATAGTTTCCCATGGCAAGTAATGAAGATGTAATACCCTCATTAGGGGCAATGAGGGTTGCCCCTTCATCCAATAGCCCCACCAATTCAAACTCTCCCGGCTCCCCGACCCCAGGCTCTCCTTTGACCACGACTCTGAACAGTGGAACTACTACCCACTCCTCAGTGCCTACTATTGCATTACCCACCCAAGCCGAGACTCAATCTCCAGAAGACACTCATACTCTCCCAACCTCAACTTCTTCACCTCAACCCCCATGATCTTCATCAAACACCCCAACCTCCCTTATTACTACCTTACAGCCTTATTCTCCATTTCTCCGTAATACTACGACCCTCAACAACTCCCTCTTCCACACGTCCCCGTCCTTCTACCACCACCAACCCTACAAATCGTCCCCATTAATCGAATTAAAAGAAGTATAGCATCATCTAACTGATCTCTCAGGAAACCCCATTCCTGCAAAACCTCATTCAACTCTTAATACTTATACTGGCACTGTGTCTGTCTCCCCAGCAAGCTGTCCTATGATATCAATTGGTCAGATATTGGAGAAAACTTATGTAATATCAGTACAGTGCTACTCCATTTCTCCTAGAGGTCATGTTTTGGACATCCTGCCAAACACTGCCGTACCACAGACCGATGCCCTATATGTGCCCAACCCGGTCGTAACCGATCAAACTGCTTTGCACAAACACGTACATGTGCTAACTGCGGCGGCCCCCATAATGTATTTTATAGAGACTGTTCCACTTACAAGTTTGAGTCTGAGGTAGTAACTCTCAGATACAAAAATGGTCTCACTCTACGTGAAGCCAGACAGGAAGCACGTTGTCAAGGTTTCTTTCATACTCCCTTCTCTAGTAATGCTGCTCGCTCTGCCCCTCCCCCTCCAGCCCAAGATGTTTCTACACCCTCCCCTGTACTTACTTCCCCACTTTTACTTCTACATTCTACCTCTCCCAGTCTTTTGCCACTCTAAATCCAGACACTCCAATCTCACCTACAGCCCGAACACCATCCCCTCCCCGCACTACCCGCAGCAGACAGACTGAACGTTCTTCCCC